GTACATCCTTCGAGACGAGTAGGGGGATACCCCGGTGTACTGGAACAGACAGCCCCTGTGGTGGACGACGAGAGTTGCTGGTACCGGGTTACCGGGTAGCACAGACATGAAGGGACCCTTAGGGGCGAAGAAAGTCATTGATTGAGTTCCTAGTCCACACATCACATTGAGACTTCGGTATAATGCGCTATACCAAATCCCACTACATTACATTACATTATATATATATGTGTGTGTGTGTGTGTGTGTGTGTGTTGGTGTGTGTTTGTGTGGGTGGGTGGGTGTGTGTGCGCGTGGGTGAGTGTGTGTGTGTGTGTGTGTGTGTGCATGTATGTATGTATAGGTATTAGTTACCGGGGCCGGAGGGGTTGGGGGTTATGGGGCGTTTCACCCCCCAGTAACGTTATTTAGTCACTTTTAGGCCTAGTAGCTTCCCCTACCACTACAGAACAGAAGGCAAATGCATGTGTTTCCAAATAAACGTAAAGGAGAGTTACCCCGATTTATATTTCTTAGCTCGTGGGTAATGATTTATTTGATTACTGCATAGTCTTTCTACAACCCACCACACCCTCTCCCCTCCAGCAAACAGGATCTGCCACTGTAGAGCTTATTTATCTTATAAAGAAAGTCGAAAAAAAACAATAAAAAACGACTCTGTGTTTTAAAATAATCAAACTGCGCCACATCTCCCAAGCCCCTACCTAACCTAGTATTTGTGCACCTACTGTAGGTTTAGGCCTCTTATACGCCTGGCCCATGGTCTAGGCACCAAGCATCAATTCAGAATCTGGATGCCAATACGCCAGCATTCAAATCTAACTGATCAATTTATTATAATGAATTTTATGCAACAGAAATTCATTGCTTACCGATTGTAGCGTACGTGCTGCAATGAGGTCCCATCTTACTCAAGGCTCACGATACAATTACAAGGACATTAATTATTCGAATTTATAACACCATCGACGTCTCATACTTCTGGTAATTATTATTGCCATACAGCCTATAAGATAGTATAATACAGGCCGACTCGTGTCGGGATTCAATATTTCGACATTAGTTATGTCATCATATCAGGAATGAAAAATTATCCATATTTGCAAGCTTATATCAGGCCCGTAGGCAGGATTTTTGATGGGGAGATGCGTTTTGCAACCGAAGTGGACCTTACGATGGGCGACTGCCTAGGGATCCTCGCGAGGGTGGGGCGAATCTTCTGGAAGCTCTGACAAATTAGCATTTTGAGGGCCTTTTTTAATGAATTTCTAAAATCCATAATTTGTAATATCCTATTTAAATTTTCATTCATTTGAGTATTGTCTAGGGACCTACAGTAAAGCAGGAGAAATCGAGGGTGGGGGTGAAGGGAGGAACTTGCACAGACAAATGGTCAATACCACCTCAGCCCCACCATGGTTGGGGCTGAGGTAAGAAAATGTATGATTATGGCACCTCAAAATGGCCGGAAATGGCACTCTCAGACAAACTTTAATTATGATTTTTCTTTTTTCTCCATTTCTTTTATAATTTTAAGGGGCTCTTCCCCCTTGAATCCACTGTGAAATTGTAATTTTTCATGTTCTTTAAATATGGAGGCCTACAGATGACATGGATCAATCTGCAATCACTGGAACTGATAGTTTCCAACATATTTCGTAGCACATTATTAATAATCAACAGGTAGAAGAGCGGGCAAAAAAATGTAATGAATACTATACCATTTCGCGATAATTAAAAACGATTTTAGTGAAATAATAGGTTTTAAAAAGTGGTCTTTTTGAAATTTGGTGGTCCAGGGACAGAGGCCTTGAGGGGGTTTGTGAGAAAAGCGACAAAGTAGCATTTTGAGGGTCTTACATAATAGATTTCTCAAACACATAATTCATGAATATTTCATTTAAATTTTCATTAATTTGGGTGTTTTTGGGGCCTGAAAAAGTAACGTTATTATGTCCTGTACATCTGCATAGATAACCTATCCTATAGATAACATTCATCATATTATATAGATAAATCTGCAATCACCGGAGACGATCAATTTCTAACAAATTTCATACCACATTATTAAAAATCATCAGTTAGATAAGCTAGCAGATATATAATGCAATGCATGCTATAGCATTTTATGATAATTAGGAGCGATTTTGTGAAATCATAGGTTTTAAAAAGTGGACCTTTTGGAATTTGGGAGTGGGGGTGGGGGTGCGTCCGCACCCTCTGCACCCCCTGCCTACGGGCCTGTATATGCACAAGTACCAAAAGTGTTTAACCAATTAAAACATTACCTCTAGTAGGTGACATAGCTATGAATAAACACTAAGGATCAAAGCATTCGTATTCTACTGATCAAAAGCTACCTACAAACACAAAGAAAGCTCCTTTGATGGGTGTAGCCTATGTATACTGCCGTGATTCGGAAAAACGCATTATATCCATTTTTTAGAATTTTGAGATATTTGGCTTATGGGCATCCTATGGATGTAATCTATCATGTGAATTGATTACATACCCCAAAAAATGTTTATAAATATGAAATTAATATGAGAGTTACGCATTATGTCCATCCACCAAAGCAAAAAAACCCGGAAGAGTGCATTATACCCATCAAGCATTGAAGAGTGAGCAATCATCCAATCACAGAAGACAGTGATGCATATTTAATTAGTTCCCTAGCTGGTGGGAGGGCATAATAGGGTATAATACAAAGTTTGTTTTTGATTAGAGCACAATTAATAAAAGAAGAATGCATTGTTCTTCATCTTTTAAAGAATAAGTTGCAATATGAAAATCACCAAATTGTGGCCATAATATAAATTTGAGTCTGTAATATTAATAATTATTATTATAAGCAAGACCATTCAACAGACAAAATAAAATACATACATATCAAACTTAAAAATGTTTTACTTAGACTTTCCAATTAAGCCAATGCTTGGAATTTAGATATAATACCGTACTTATGATAAATTTACATTTAAAATATTTATCTATATTTAAATGAGTACACTTCCTTATAATTTAGGGAAACAGAAATTTATAAATGGGCCTGAGAAGAAGTGTGTTTAGAAGTTGTGGGTATTTATTTTTTGTTTATTAAATTAAAAGGCGGATATTCTTCATAGTGAATTTAAATAAACTGATTATTTATGTTGTAAAAACTTACTAACAGTGTTGCTGCTTGTTCTTTCTGTAGTGGTTAATGATAGTATTTAATTTAAATTTTACATGTACCATACCATATTTTAGGGAAAATAAAACATTTACTAAATCAGATCAGACACATTTTATAAATATTTTATGAGAGTGAATTCGATAATGTTGCTAAATAATATAAACAAAAACCCTTAAGAAACTTTACATTTTGTTTTGTTTTAAGTTATTTAAACATAATGGAATTCAAACCTCTAAAGTCCTGGTGAAAATACAACATTTACTAAGTCAGATCAGACACATTTTATAAATATTTTATGATAGTGAATTCGATAATGTTGCTAAATAATATAAACAAAAACCCTTAAGAAACTATATATTTTGTTTTGTTTTAAGTTATTTAAACATAATGGAATTCAAACCTCTAAAGTCCTGGTGAAAATTCACTTTAATTTGTTATTTTTCATTAGTCCTTAAGTAAAGAATAATGCCATGCATTCTGCTTGTAAAACTGGATATAATGCCTAACTTCAGATTTTCCATGCTTCATTGTTTTTTGCTTTAATTTGGAAAAACGCATTATGTCCATTTTGACTGGGTTATAGAAAAAATATATAAAAAAGGTTCTTCAGTATGTTTTTCTGTTGTTTAGTTAGTACATTTACACACAAAATTCAATATAATTCATTTCCATAACAAAAGGTTAACAAGAAACGCACTTTGCTAAATATCTTAAAACTATGATTTTAGCTTATAATGCGTTCTTCCGAATCACGGCAGTATAGCAAACGCTTCTTCAAACAATAGGATAGACCAGTTTTGCGAACTGTCGATAATGTTAGTATTAGAATATAATATATTATTAAACCTAATTTATTACTTACATTACAGGCTACATTATCATTTTCAAATATACCTTGTAAACCTAAAACATATTGGAATGTCTCACAATTTTGTATATGATCATTTATAACACTATCATATCGTGAAAAATGTACAAGAAGAATATCGTGAAGAATGTCTTTACAATGATTAACAGAATTTCTGCAATCCACGTACTCTCGCGAATAAGCGCCCGGGCGCATAATGTCACTAGTCACTGGTAGCCAAATACTCTGTCAAAGAATGGCTAATAATAATAATAATAATAATAATAATAATAATAATAATAATAATAATAATAATAATAATAATAATAATAATGCTCTAGAGGCTTGTAAACAGTAAACTACCACGAACTAGTTGAAAGATCTATTTGCACAATCATTTTGATAGTTTAATTAACTACAAGCCAGCAATACTCAACGGGAAAATATATGAATTAAGCTTAAATCTTTGCATAAAGGTTAGCTATCGTTAACTCATACATATGCCAATTATGTTTAAAACAACAGGTTGTCGAGAATTTCTTGGAATGAAATCAGGGGAGATACCTAAAGGCGCTATCCAAGCATCAACCGAACTTGATAACAAAGGCTCTGATCTTGCAAGGCTCAATTCGACAATTGGTGGTAGTGGTGTCTCCGCTTGGTGTCCTGTAAATCAGAATCGATACCAATGGATACAAGTGTACCTTGGTAAACTCCACATTGTCAATGGCATAATGACACAAGGCCAACGGCTTCAGTGGGTTACAATGTATGAAGTAAGTTATCGTGTCAATGGAAGTGGTTGGATAGTCGTCATGGGACACGATGGTTTACCAAGGGTGAGCTGCTCAAGCTTAACATACCAATAGCTAATAGGCTGACTCGTAGTGTAAACTGCGCATGCCTGTATTAGATCAGTCAACATTTAAACAAACAAGTATACACACAACACATGTTTATGACGATTGACCATGGATACGTACATTCAGAGTTCAAACTAACGAATTAGATCATTGTACTTCAGAAATTCATTTTGGGATGGCTCAAGTATAGTATGAAACTCATTGAATTGAATTAAATTATTAATACATTAATGGTTATATTTTTAATTTTACTTAATAGGAATTTATGGGAAACTATGATGAAGACACAGTGGTAACTAACGTTTTACCAGAGCCTATTAAGGCACAGTTTATCAGGATTCGCCCGTTGAGCTGGCACACATATCCATGCCTTCGATTTGAAGTTCTCGGCTGTCTAGGTAATTAACTTTCTGTTTTAACTGTAACACATACTCTGTTAACGTGTATTTATCTTTGATGTTTTTAGTATTACCACGGACATAGGTCGATGGTATTACTCGGTAAGTTTCCACATTAAAGTGTTCTGCTAGCGACTAATATTTATAACAAAAAAACATTTTTAACAACATTGATTACAGAAAGATGACAATATTTCCAAGACTGTCGAGGCATACGATATTAGATGTTTTAGAATAAATATAATTAAATTTTATTACATTTCATTAAATATTGTCTCAGATGTTGATGACTGTGTAGCCGGTGTTTGCCAGAATAGTGGTCGTTGCATTGATGGATTGGGAGGATACACATGTGACTGCTTATTTGGATTTGATGGTGATAATTGTGATCAGGTAGGCCTATCATTATGCAAACAAGTGCTGATCCAGGTTTTTCTGGGAATAATATAAGACGAAAAGGAGTGTTAGTGATGTAATTATGTCTATCGTATTTCTTTATAAGATAACATTATCAAAGTAAAATGGTCATATAAATCAAGTAAAATGCAAAGATATACACATGTGTTAATGTGTTTAATGAGGTGCCAATTCGCATTAGTGTTGATATTTTAGGGTCATCGCCCGGCATGATTTAGAAAGATTATTCCATTGATGGTTAACTGACTAAAATCTATAAAAAATATTAAAAAAAACACAACATGTGGTGCTACTTCTATATAGTTCGACTGCAACTTGGTAAACTATTAGAATCAACTAATAATAAGATCACCTTTAAAAGAACAAAACAAATCTACTGAGATTTGCCAGAACAAAATTTGGAACAATGCATTCTCCCCTACATAACGTGCTCGATGTCTGCATCAAATACTCAATAATCACACTTGCCCTCAGTCAAAGAATCTATAATGTTACATTGTATACGTTTTATCTATCATAAACAACTTCATCGTTTCTTTACAGGAGACTGGTGTTCATACGTAATCCTAGAGTGTAATGCTGACAGGTTCAAATGCGTAACATAACGGCATCGAGAGATAAATTATGAAATTGTACTGAGCACCATGGAATACTTAGACTTGACTTAAATAAAAAAAAAACATTACTCAGTTTACGAAAATGGAATTATGTATGCCTATTATACTACCAATGAGGAATTGTTATTTTCTTTTAAAGAAACCTTCACATTTTTAAAAAGGTACACATCTGTTATTGGTACTATATGAAAACATTTTAACATTAAATTTAGACTCCAATGTATGGATAAACAGAATACCTGTTGAGGAGAATAATTTGTAAGTTTTTTAGCTGTGATTTACTTACTTTCAGAATAGTAAGAGGCAATGTAACTGTGATAATGTAATACAATAATGTTAAAAAGGTGTACGGATCTGTCATTCATATGATATTAAAACTAACTTTTCAAATTTAAATTTAGACATCACTGTATGGAGAAACAAAATAAATGTTAAGAATAATTTGTAAGATTTTTAGTTGTGATTTATTTTCATTCAAATCGGTAAGAGGCAATGTAACTGTGTCAATATAATACAATACTGTTAATTTGTAATGGTCTTAAGTATCAGTAGGCCTATAGTATAAAATCTATGTGAAACATTGCTAGTTTATATTCGCATATCTCATAGGCAAAAATATTATAACACACCTAAATAGAACCTTGACCGTTTTTATAGGCCGACTGGAAGAAAGACTCGTTTTGCGTTAATTTTGCAGAAACACTCAATCTTAATAGTCTTGAACAATTTAAGGTATATGACCATAATTTTACCAATAGTGATGATGCTCAAATATATGTAAATTCTATATGTGAAAAGCTTGCGGGTGTTATACACGACTCTGTGAAACCTTGTAATAATAATGTTAAGCCTAAAAGATATACCAAAAAATCACACTGGTGGAATAATAACTGTACAAATTCTAGAGATAGGCAACGTTTTTGGTATCGTATATGGGGTCAATGTAAAAACCACGTTCTGGATATATTTGCACCAGTTACAAGTATGCAAAAAAAGATTATAGAAATTGCTGTAGAAATGCCATAAGACAGATTGAATCTCAGAAATTTAATACTTTAAATAGATTAAACAGGATTAAAAACTCAAAGAAATTTTGGAAAGGTATCAAAGACTCAAAAAAATATTAAAAGTAATTATCATAAGTCCATTAGCAACTCTAAACTCACTGACTTTTTTGTAAATACGTTTAATAAAAATAATGCAACGTCCGATCGAATTACAGGAGCTGAGGTCTTTGTCGATAAAAAGTATAACAGCGTGAAAGAGGTTCTGTCTAGTTCAGTCTATTTTACACGTCATAATGTTATAAAAAATATTAATTAAAATAATAACTCCGCCCTGGACCCGATGGTATTTATGTCAAACACTTATTTCAAATATGGTTTAGGTGCCGGTATATATATATATATAGACTCCCAGCTACCACTTATAATTGCAAACGTTTCGTAATGGCACACTAATCCTCATTCTCAAAAAGAACATTCTAGATCCATCAGTAGCACTGCAAATTATAGACCCATTGTTCTATTTGAGTTGTGCTTACTTGATTTATGTTTTGACGTTAACTTTGATCCATCCCAATACGGCGTCGTAAACGGTAGAGGTACCGCGATGGCGGCAACTACAGTTAACGATGTGTTTACCTACTGTAACAACCAAGGGTCAAATGTGTACCTTTGCTCCCTTGATGCCGATCAACTACCTCATTCAATAACATTTTATAATTAAGTAAAGTTATAAATGATGACTGGTGGCGATGTATGTACGTGCGGTACGCAAGGCAAGGTGGCTTGTCATCTCCATTTATTTTTAACGGTTTTTTTTACAAAGATCTTGTAACAGGTCTCCAAAATATGGATTGTGGTTTAGTTGTCGCCAAAGATAAATTTAATTCATTCTGTTACGCAGTGACCTGCTTCAGAAACTTATTGCCTATGCCAATGATTACATTGTCTTCGTTTTAATCGCACGAAAATGTCATGTACAATTTTTGGAAAAACAAAAAATTACCAAAATACCAGAATGGAATCTAAATAATTGTTCATTGAACATTACCAATGCTGTTACTTATCTTGGGATAACACTAAATAGTATTATTTAAAAAACACTGACGAACGTATGCTTAAATATCAAAAAGCGTTCTTTCCACTACAAAGCACAGGTATATATAAACATGGATCGAGCATCAAAGTTAAGATTCATTTTTAAATCACCTCAACCAGGGAGAGTTGTTTTACAAAATGTCGAAGGATGCCGTCGATGTCATTCCGGCGGCTATCACGCAACAACTCAATTCAGATGGCCAAGTTAGTTGTTACTGAATTGTTAGGCAGTAGACTTCAAAAAGATTATAAGTGATAATGTAAGTGACGGTAAGGCGTTTAAAAGTCCGGGCGTTGGTAAAGTTTTGGAGGACATAATTTCAAGGTAAGTTCACCCTCAAATCGATATTCTTAATGAAAAACTAAATTGTTTTGAAACCGGTATTGAAGATCTTGAAACCAATAACGTAGGCCTTTTCAATGAGTCTGAGTTTGTCCAAGAATATATCAACAACAAATTGGACGAAATCGATGATGCTCTAGACGACCTAAAGCAATACAGTAACTGCCTACGATGTTTTTGGAATCACGGAAAGAATTAACGAGATGACGGACGACATAATTACCAAACTATGTTTCCAAAAACGCCGCTAAGCCAAGACCAATCATCGTTAAATTTTGCTCCTATCGGAAACGCAATGAAGTCATCAAACACAGGAAGAAACTTAAGGGATCTAGTAGATCAATTCATGAGGACCTGACCTACAAAAGACAACAGTTCGTCAATTCGTGGAGGTATGGTCAATTGCAGCAGAAATCTAACCTATTGGACGTATGTACCATATTTGTTTGTATGAAACAAAAATGGAAAGGAAATTACCAAGAGAATTCGTTCAATTAATGACACTTAATTTTTAATGTATATTTGGACAGGTGGTTGTTATCGATTCAACATAGAGTGCCACAGCTTCATCTGTCGTGGGTTCGCTAACACTCATTGTGCTACTGAACAGTGTCTGCAATTACCATCCTTACCTGGTACGTGTTTTGCTACTGGATTGTATCTCATTAACCTCATGATTAATCGTTGACACGTTAAAGGAGTTTGTCAAGGTCAATGTTGTTGATAAGTGGAACTAGTGGTTTGTGATCTGTGAGAAGATCAAATTTGTCTGGTCTACAAAGATGTCTATGAAACCGTTCAGTTGCACATACTGCTGCTAAGAGTTCTTTTTCTATTTTATTTCTCTCCCTGCAGCAGAACAGCTCCAAGTCCGTAACTGCTTGCATGACAGAGTAATCGGCTTGGTTGGATCAAAGAATATTAATGTAGTTGCTTTTTTTATTTTTTTATTAATTCCTTTTTTTGCTCAAAGGCATCTTGTTGTGCTGGTCCACATATTCATGCAGTTGAACTCAACTATTTCATTGGCCGAGTGACTTCTGATAGTTTTGAATGCAACAACCTACATAGTTGACCATCCCAATTAAGTATGCGTCTTAATTCGCTAACATTTGTGGGTGGCTCTAGACTGCATATGGCTTTTATCTCGTTTGGGCCGACGCTTGTTCCTTCTGCGTTGAACCTCTCTCCCATATACAACAGCTCTAATTGTCTAATCTGCCATTTGCCTTTTTTCAATCTGAGTCCGGCTTCCTTTACCATTTCCTAGACCTGGTTTAATCTAGAATCGTGCTCTTCCATAGTATGGTCTGATACTATGATGTCATCTTGTACACTGCAGTACCTTTCACATTTTTCAGCACATCTTGCATTTTCCTCTGGAATATTTCACTTGCACTAGTTATACCAAAAGGAAGTTTAGTAAATAAGTATTGTCCCATCGGTGTGATGAACGTTTTTAACGTTGAACTCTCCTCACACAAAGGAAATTTGAAATATGTTAATTCGCCATATTGTAATACATCAAGATAGAGGCAGTATATACCTTAGTGGCATTAGCATGACACCCCCACCCCCAAATTTCAACCCATATCCTCCCCTGTAATTGGTATTATAATGAGTACAAAGGGTTTTAAATTATAATAAATTAAAGGTATTGCGGGGATAAATATTATCTATTGATTGTAGTGTTGATGATTGTAAGCAGAGGTTCAATAAAATTACAGATCCATCGTTGATATATCGTGTAAGTAGAAAATATTGGTATTAAATTTATTTGATTTGTAGACATTAGGAAGAAAATCATACTCTTTTAGATTAATGCGAAGTTTGAAATTTGTGAGGTATGATAGGATCACATTTGTATTCCTCGAATTTGTCGATAAAATATATTTTGGGCTGTAAAAGAGCATAAACATTAATTAATAAATTTTAATTGAGGAGGTACGCAGTAGAATTATTATCAATGTTAAGTAATTTGCGTGCCTGATTAATCGAATTTGAAGTGTTTCGGATTATTAAATTTTTATAAAGGTTTTCGAAATCCCACGTAACGAAAAAAGCTCTGTCTGTCTGTCTGACTGACTGTATAATGTGCAATTGTTGTGTTTGGGTAATGAAGTCAAAAGAATTATTAATTATGGGGAAGCGAATACATTTCTTTAATACCGGAAAGTTGGTTATTGATACGCTGGTTATTAATTATATAAAATTGTAGACATGGGAGAAGTGATCTTAAGTGCGCTCTGAATATTGATCTTCCTTTTAAGATATTCTGTATTAGGTGAAGTTTTATTTTTCAATTTATGGGGTTTGGGAATATGTCCAGAGACAGGATTTTGATTTTTGTTTTTTCCATCTACTACGATCGTAGTAATTTATAGTATTATGTTTTCACCATTATCATTATTATTGTTATTAATTAGTTCTATTATTCTATTTTGTAAATGTAATTTCCCTTTTGTTATTATTGGAGCTGATTTTTTTTTAAATAATTATTACAATTTAATTGGGTTTTTTCACTCATTATAATACCAATTAGAATTATTACATAGTCCTAAATTATTATCAACTGTTCGGATTATTATGTCTTCTAAGATAATTTTTTTAGTTCTTTATAGTGCGATTTGGTAATATTTTGGGTTGCTATACAGGCAAAATTTCTTATACATTACAATTCTAGAGATACTAAGGTGTTAAAGCAGCTTCGTGTTTGTTTTAGTGTATGGATGTCTTAATAAACGTTGTAAATGAGCTATATGGGGTTTCCGTATCGGGAGTGTTGGTTTGATAATGTTATAAGATTTATATATATTATTCTGATGGATATATTTTAGTAGTAATAATATTAAAGAAATTAAAAGGTCTTTATTTAGATCCTTCTTAATTTGTTTAAAAGGGGTGTAGGGGTGTAATTTGTTCATTTATTTAGGATATCTTTGAGTTGGCTATCAATTTCCATATTAGTAAAATTATGTTAATATTTATTAGTAATGGTATTAA